GTTTTGACGAAACGATAGATGCAATATAGACTCAAAAAAGGAACAACGTTCAACATGTACAGGCCAAACCCGAAATAAAAACATAAGAGGACACGCACCAATGGCGGCCTAGAACCTCAACAAATCAGCAAAGCAAACTAGCAATCACAATCCACTGCCAACGGCCTAGATGTGAGAAGTTCAAACAAAAATAACAAAATACAACAAAAACTAACAAGACTAAAAAACTAAAGATTAACAAACTGAAGCCAATCTTGCTGTGCCATTTTCAATGTAACTTGGACTGGTATTCTGACATCTTGAAAAATGCATAGGTTGCGAGTCTTCCAGAGTCACCAGAGTATGTACGTAGTGAGTTGAATCCTAGCTTCTGATGTCTCGGCTAGACCCACAGAACAAATGTAATGCCACCAGCTGCTAAAGGAAGAGGTCTGAATTGGCATATAATTCCAGGAAATGGGAGCAATGTCCCATATCATCTCAGCTCTTTGACAGTTGAATAGCACATGGTTGATAGTCTCAGCTTCCTTGCCACACATGCTGCAGATCACATCCAATTTCATTCCTCTGCTCAGTAATTTGGTTTTGACTGGGAGTGCTCCAGAAATGCATTTCCATATAAAAATCTTGACTTTGTTTACCACTTTCAGTTTCCACAGTCTCTGGTTTAACTTGGAGAGTGACTGAGCAGTAGAGTTGCTGCTGGTTGGAATGTCTAGTGCAAACAATTTATTTTGGACCAGAAAGGAGTAAGTACTTGAGACAGAAAATTCACCTTTCTTGCTGTGCTTCCAATACTTCCTATTTTCCTGACCAGGCTTAAGTGTGTGAATGTTGAGTATGGCATTGCTGTCATTGTCATTGTAGAGCTGTTTGACCAACCATGTTATCCATCCTTGTCCTGAGTCATTAATGAGGTCTTTGACCCAAATCAGATGTCCTCTAGCAATGTCAATCAGTGTGGGAGTTAGTTGCAAAAGAGATGGTACCCAGTTCACTTCATCAAGTCTGGTTGTAACCCCATTTCTAATTTCTACTGCACACCCTTTGGCAAAATGAGGGAGGACATCCATCCAATTTGACCAAAGCCAAGAACTGTTAATGGATTTTACAGCAGCAAACAAAGAGCAATTTGGGAAGTATCTCTCTTTCAGGATTTGGCTAACCAAGAGCTGTGGTTGTGAATGGATTCTCCACAGTTGTTTGCAGATCAGGGCCTTGTTAAATAAATGTAAATCAATGAACCCAAGCCCTCCATTTTCTATAGGTAGTGTGAGAAGCTTCCAAGCCTTCCAATGTATTCCTTGAGTTTGTTCTTCACCTGTACTCCACCAAAATTTAGAGCAGAGCTTTGAAATATTTTCACATATGGTTTTGGGGAGTAAAAAGCATGACATTGAAAATACAGGGAGTGCTTGTAATACAGCTTTGATAAGCACAGCCTTTCCAGCTTGAGTGAGCAGTTTTGATTTCCAATCCTGAATTCTTGATTTCACTGTGTCCAAAATGTACTGAAATGTGTCCAGCTTAGATCTACCAATGCCTAGTGGGAGACCTAGGTATTTGGTAGATCTGTGACAAGTAATGCCTTGCAGAGTCTCACGAATTCTGGTTTGGAGTTGGATAGGAGTATTCCTGCTGAAGAACACTGAGGACTTGAGAAGGTTGACAGATTGTCCAGTGAAGAGTCTATATCTCTCAAGGATTT